CTGAGCATCTGGGGAGAGCTGGCCCCGAGTCCTTCCCTGGTCTAACCATCTCGTGGAGACTGCCGGCCCCTCTGAGCTCCTGCCTGTAGGGTTCAGGCCAGCTGAGAGGGGGTGAACTCAACACACTTATTTCATTTTACACACATTAAATTTGGGCCTCTCAAACCTCACATCCAGTGAAACATGCAAATGGATGCAAATGAGTTCCTGATTTATGCAAAACAGCATGAAAATGCATGTCCCTGGATTTGCCAAAGGAAAAGCCCTGGTCGCCTAATTCAGCAGAAATAATAAGGGCAGAAGATCATGTCTGTCTGTCAGTTAGGTTCAGGCTGACCAGAGTCAGACCCGGAATGGAAGCGGCCCCCCGGGCCACAGCCCAATCCCTAGAACCAGGAGCCCACAGCCTGGGTTTGCAGCAGAGGCCAGCTTCACAATGGACCTCCCTTCCCTCCAGATGGGGCCCCGGGAGAGGCCCGTTATTAATATCACCATTAAAAAGCGCTAACACTGAGTGAGCAAGCCCTGTGCCAAGCACTTTACACACATCGGCAGCAGCCGGGGATAAGAAACTGTTATCTCCATCTTACAGAGGGAGAAACTGAGGCCAGCGAGTGAAAGACTCCACTCTGTGAGACCCCCAAGCCAACGTTCTCACCCTTCATGAAGCTTCTCCTTTCACACCTGTGTTGCCCATGAGGCTGGAGGCTCTGCTCCGGGAAGGCAGGGGCGGTGTCTACACTGGCCCCTTACCCTGGTACATGGTAACCAGCAGTAGACACTTGCTGAATAGATGAATGAAGGAAGAATGAATGAATGCATGACTGAATGAGTGATGAAGGAATGAATGAAATCTACTCAGGGATACCTTGCTCAAACATGAGTATGTTTTCTGCAGATTTACACCATCTATTTCTGGACCCAATAAATGGCCCACAGTGGGATGTCTATTCGTCTGGATGGTGTTTCCCCTTATTTCCCAAAATGCTGGGTGAGTGATGCTGGCCCGTGTGAGTCCTAAGCCAGCAGAACTGTTAGAGGTTTCTGCACAAACTGCTGGGTTCTCCAAGCTGGCTGCAGCAGAGGTGCACCCCTCAAAGAAGGCCCTAGGGGCTTCGCGCCATGCCCGGGCGGTTAACGCTCCACCGAGGAGCATCTCGACTGCAGACGCCCGGCAGGGCTCCTGTGTGAGATAAGTTAACGAGGGCTCACTGAGGGCCAGAAGCCCTCCGAGAATTTAACAGGAATTAACTCATTTCATCCTTGAAACAGCCCAGGCAGTCGATGCTGTTAATATCCCCAAGTTCTAGAAGAGGAGACCAATGCAAACATTCTGTTGCTTATATTGGCATTTGGGCACCTGTCCTCACACAGGGTCCTTATATTGGCATTTGGGCACCTGTCCTCACACAGGGTCCTCAGATGACAGAGTGGAGGGGGCAGGGCTGGGAAATAGGCCCAGGAAGGGGCGGCCGTGTTACGACCCACAGCCCTGGGGTCTGCTGTGCTGTGTGACACTAGGCAAGTGACTTCACCTCCCTGAGCCTCAGTTTCCTCATCTGTAAAGTGTGTATAATAATATAACCTCCTCTAGGGGTGGTTGCGGTCAGGGGTGTAATGCTCTAAACACAGTCCCTGGACCCAACGGGACTTCAGCATGTCTGGATGAGTGTTGGGTGAGACGGTTCACAGAGGTGCAGGGACCTGTAGGTCACCTTCACACTGGTGCCAAACCTCGAGCCCACGTCTCCTGACTCAAGGCCTAGTGCCCGCTCCACACACGGCCCAGCCCATCTGCCGGGCGGGCTGGCTTCCAGAACTCGGCTCCGGGCACCTGTAAGAGCCTTTCCTGCAGAGAGGGAGCCAGCTGTCTGCCTCGGGGGGAGAGCCCATAATGACCCACTTCTCGCCAGGAAAGGGCCGTGGTTTCTGTTGATATGAAAAGATGACAAGAAACAGCTCAGGTAATTATATTAATTTTCTTCAATTTACACATTCCTGCTATTTGCCGGCTCTGGGAAAGTGTAAATGAGGAGTTTAGACTAGTTTGGCAGTGCTGGAATTAGGTCTGCATTGTTAAAAAGTTCCTGCCGTGTGTCTTACTATTAAGTCTTCCATCTCCCGTAAGGCTGGGAGCACCCTAAGGGTAAAGGATTTCTCCCCTCCTTCAGCCCAGGGGTCTCCACCCTCAGACTAGGGTCTCTTCCCTGGCAGACACTATCTTCCCCATCAAACCGGCAGGTGATCCTGAGAATTAGGCTAGGTCTCCCCCATCAGATTTGGGGTCCTTAGGGACAGACCCATGTCTCCCCATCAGACTAGCAGCTTCCCCATCAACTTGTGAGATGGACCGAGTCCTCCATCAGACTGGGAGCTTCCTGAGAAAACGACCTCTCCCCCATCACACCGGGAATGTTCCCGGTCAGTGGCTCTGTCTCTCCATTCAGACCGGTCAGGTAAGTGCTGGTAACATTCCCATGTTCAGTGACTAAAGCTCTGACTCTACACCCATGTGACCACCTCCTGCATGGACACACACGCATATGCTTTCTGTCTATAGGAAGCCGGCAGCGGAGGCTCTGTTACCCCCAAGGAACAACGGGGCAGTTCCTGGGCTTCTATGCATGAGTCCTAGGCTTTCAGAGAGTCACACAAAGCATGTTGGTGGCAGGAGGGCTGGTTCCCATCTGATAGGGAGAGAGGCCTATGCCCAGGAGCCTGACATGGTTCTGGCTCCAGGGAGGGACGGCTGGGGTCTCCTCCTGAGCCCAGGGTTTAAAAACAGGCCAGGCCAGCTCAGGCCAGAATACAATCCCAACCCCCACCTTCAGCCCCAGTCCCTTCCAGAACCAGACCCCCACCCTGTCCTTGCCCCCTCTAGGGTTGCGTGCACCGCAGGTTACTGCATCCTCTCGGCCCCCAAACCTCCCTGCTGTTGTCAGAGACTTGGAAGTGAGTGTTGACTGATATAATTTCACTATAGTAGCGAAGTCGTCATTTTCTCAGTGACAGATGTCAAGGGCCCATTAGATCTCCCGGGTCCCCTTCAGCTGGGCAATCTACAGATCCAGGATCTAACAGACCCACAGAGCTCTCAGACACCAACTCCTGCGCAAAAGGGGGACAGCCTGCCTCAAGTAGTTTGGAACAAGGCAGACTACAATGATATAAGGAATAATCACGAAGCTGCCGTTGGAGGACTGGTCCAGGTGCTTTCCGTGGCCTTGTCGACACTCATCCACAGCAATTGTGCAAGGTGTCGTGGTCCCCATCTTAGAGATGAGGAAACCGAGGCTGGGAGCCACAGGCAGGTCTTCAGTGCGGCAGGACTTGAACACAGGCCTGCCGGATCCTAGACTTCAGGCTTTCTCATCCTCTACATACCAGTCATTTTTCTAGGAAACATCTTGACCGGCATTTGATGAACTGGATAAAGGCGCCCACAGGGAGCCCCACCCGACGGGCGTTTGGTAACTGATCTGAGCACTGTGCACTTGGTCCCACTTGTACTTAGATAGGACACCCCTCTCCCGTGAGAGGTGCACAGGACATAGTGGGTGTCCCTTTGCTATGAAATGGGAAACTGAGGCCCAGGGAAGATGGGTTCAGCTGGAATGGAATGTGTTGGTCAGTGCCCATGGCCATGGTCCCTCCATACAGTTCCCCCACCCCCTCCTGGGACCCACACCGGACAGCTTACCTGCTGGCAATGGAGCCGACCACTGCACACTCCACAGCCACCTTCGCAGAGGCCGCCCCATGAGAGGCCCTCCCGCCTCTGCACGCCCTCCCCTCCCCAAGCCCACACTGGCTGGCACGTATGCCCGCCCTGCCCTCTAACCACGCACCTCCTGGGGGCAGGGATGGCCACTGCCTTGCTCACCTCCACGGCCCCAGCAACGAGCATGGGGCCTGAGTCTAGCAGAAGTTTGAGGATGTTTTCAAAAGATACGAGCGAGTGAATGATCCTCCAGTGGGTGCGACCCCACCAGGCGGTTAGGCCCCAACCGGAACAGCCTCTCCGCGGTGGCTCTTCTCGCTGCGTTCCCAGAGTGTCGTCAAGCTTCTCGGCGGGCCCAGTGGTGAGATCTGCCTCCCATCTCCGCGAGCCCTGCTTTCCCTCGCCCTGCCTCCTGGGGCTGCCACTGTGGGAGAGTGTGGAAGAGAGAACAGATGGATGGGTGGGTGGACAGACGCGAGGACAGATGAGAGGCGGAAGGGTGGGAAGATGGACGAAACACTTTCCTTTTGGGTGGTGGTTTGGGGTTTTGTTTTTTTCCATGCAGGCAGCTCTAGGAATATAAGGATGGAGGCTGAGCCAGAAGAGCGAAGCCAGGGCCCAGGGCAGCCCCACCTCTCAATCCCCCCACGGCCTGGGCTCTGCTCCCACCGCCCAGAACTCACATCCTCCCGCAGACACAGGGACCTCAGCCCCATCCCTGCCTTGCTCTGTTGCCCATAGCAACAGCCCCAGACCTCACCTTCCACGCGGCAAAGCCCTCAGCTTCCTTCCCTCCCAGGTTGGCAGAGCCAAGGCCTCCTGCCTCCATACCACTCCAGAGCTGGGGGCCCAGCCTTTTTTTCAAAAAAATGTTCAGAAAAGAAGCTCCCACGAGCCCCTTCTCGAGCGGAAGGGAACCTCCCAGGGTGATGGAAATAGTCGTCTCTGTGTTGTCCAACACAGTCTGCACTCACCTTGGGGGGTTCTTCAGGCCACACTAGAAATGTGGCTATCGGGACTGAGAAACTGCATTTTCCATTTAAGTCAGTTTTCATTAATTAATTTTAAAAAATCAAATAGCCATTGGTGACCAGTGGCAACCGCACCGAAAGGCACACTTCTAGGGCCTGTGCTTGTGGCAGGTCTCCCTGGTGCCTGGCTTCGGACACTCCTGCTGAGGGCAGTGTCCCTCCTGCTCCAGGACAATCCCTATCCAGTGACAGCTGCTCTCTGTTTCTTCCCGTTACATCTCAAAAAGAAAACCCTTCAATCCAAGTACTGGCGTTACTCTTGCCTTTTATTCCAGCATCTCCCAGAGCTCCAATATGTACAGATTTTATTTATACACAGATGATATACACCATATATACGTATTTATATATATTCACACAGCAGCCCACATGCTCTCATACACGCACACACACACGCCCTTCCAGGAGGGGCGCGTGGCCGCCTCTGGGCCCCGCTCGGCCCGGACAGGAGGCGCTGGGCTTGCCAAGCAGTTGTGAGGTTTTGTGTTTTGTTTTTAAAAATGGCCATTTCCTCCAGAGGAGTCTTCCCTCTCCACAAGCCCAAACCCTCCCCCAAACACTCTAAATTTGTTTTGTTTTTTAAAAGGAAGGGGTTTTCCTCTGCTCTGCAAAGATAGTTACTATAGATCAGGCCAGTCTGCCTGGGGCAGGTACTAGAGACCCAGACCCGTCCGTCCGCGTGGCCCTGCGCCGGTCCCTGGAAGGCGATTCCGCCCGCACTGCCCGGGGGACCCTGGATGACCGAAGGGCCCGCGGCAGGCCGACGGTGGGGCATGGCTGCAGCTGTGCACCCTGGGTGGGGGCTATAGTGTCAACAAGGGCACCTGCCAAATGAGGAGGGTGCTGTCCATCTCCCCGCACGAGGGCGGCCTCCCGCCAACACCCAAGGCACTGCCGAAGTTCCGGTAGCCCTGCCCGCCGGAGATGATGGCCACAGAGCAGATCTCCTTGCGATGGGCGTCGCGGGCACAGGGCCGGCTGCGCACCCAGACGTCGGGGTCATCGGCCATCTCGTAGATGGAGCCGTCCTCCTCGCTGTGCTCCAGGGCTGAGCCGTCGGCGGGCACGGGCTCCCGCACCGAGAGCACCGGGCCCGGGAGGTGGGCGGTGGAGCGCAGGCGGTACTGCAGGAGAATGCCCTTCTTGCGGGTCAGCTCTCGGGCCCCGTGGCTGGAGGGCACGGGTGCTGGCTCGGGGGCCTGCCCGTCGGGCTTGTCCTCCTCGGCCCTTGGGCCCTCGGCCTCTTCCTGGTCACTCCGCAGGATGTCGAGGGCCAAGATGCTGGTAGCCACGGCCAGGAAGGTCACAGGCCCGCAGTGGCCGTTGAGGGAGACCATGCCTTTCCCTGCAGAAATGGGGCAGAGAGAAGGGGCTCAAAGGTCCAGAGCTTTAAGCAAGGCACCGACATATGTCTCTGGTAGAACTTTCTGGTTGTGGGTTTTTGTTTGTTTTTTGTAACTGCCAGTCTATGTTGGAACCTTGCCAGAGGGCCATGGGTCTGGACTAGTAGGGCTCTCCCACTCTCTAGGGCTACTTTCTTTGGGGGTGAAGCAGGAGGACAGGAGTGATCTTAGAAACCACTGGGGGACCTTCAGTGTAAAAGCATCTGCAGCTCCCTGCCTGAGCCACCCTCACAGCTCAGTGCCTCTGCCCAAGCCACTGCCTCCACCTAGAGAGCCTTTCTCACCCCCCTGATTCCATAACTCATCCTTGGAAGGCCAGCTCAAGCTCTTCCACAGCACATCCTTCTGGAATCCACCCGCGGAGAGCTGATCATCCTGTCTCTGTGCCCACAGTCCCCGGGCCACCCACCATCCTAGCACCTGCCACCCTGGACTACAGCCCCCCCCTACCAGACTGCCACACCTTGGGGGCAGGGTCTCTGCAACCCCAGGACCTAGCCTGGGATGAACAACATGACCTATATGGTGAAAACAGGCAATCTCAGAATTTAGGAAGAAAGTCTTCTTTAGCAGAGAGCTCGAGATGCAGCCAGGGCTGGCCTACCCTCAGGGCTCCTCCCTCCCACTCACCCCTGCTCTCCGGCCACTCTGTCATCACCCTCCAGGAGGAGGCAGAGAGAGACCCAGGGCTCTGGGGTCCTCCTTGACCCACCCTATTCTCCTGGGCCCTGGTGCCACACGTCAGGGCAGACCTTCCTCTAATCCACGCACACACATTTGTACATGGCCTCCATCCCCAGGAGCCCTCGGTTATTTCTATCTCTGGAGCCTAGACATTTTGAAGCTGCTGTGGGGAGGGATCAGGAGGGGCCCAGCAGAGCCTCTGCCATCAGTCACGTGTCTCAGCCAGCCCTCAAGACATCTGGCCGATATGCACTACTATGCCCATTTGCCAGGCTGGGAAATTGAGACTCAAAGAAGACGGGAGACTGTGGGGCTGAGACGATTTAATTGCATTGTGCCCCAGTGCTGCCTACACTGACAGAAAGTTGGAGAATAGACCCCTCCACACGCACACGCACACACACATCTGGGCATGACTCACCATCCCCCCACGCCCCGCCATCTGCAGCTAATTCCTGGGCCCTGCCTGACAAGACTGGCTCCCCGAACTCACCTGTGATCTTGGGGATGCCTTCTAGCCGAGGCACCGGCAGCAGGACAATGACACCCTGGTCAGTGCCCACCCAGAGCAGACCCTGGCAGATCAGGAGGCTGGTGACGCACAGATGCTTCTGGCCTGCAGAGAGAGGGGCCAGCATGAGCAGCGGTGCACCCTCCTTGGGGGGCAGGGGTGGGTTCTGGGAGCCACCTCAAATTGAGGAAAGGGTACAGTCTGGGCTCCTCCGGTGAGGCAGGCAAGAAGCTGGATGGGGCGTGGTTAAGAGCTGGGGCTTGGAAGGCGGACCTGGCTGGGGTCTGGCCCCTGGATACCCGAGCTGAGCGCTCCCCTCAGCCAGCCTCAGTTTCCGCCCGTGTAACTTGGGGTTGCTGCAAGGATGCAATGAGGTAATGCCACAGAGCACGGTGCTGGCCCATGTGAGCTCCCAGAATGCAGTGGCTGGGTCCTCTGGCCCAAAAGGCAGGCTCAGGGCAGCCCACACCAGGGTCACAACCAGCTGCCTGGACAGTGAAGCCAGGGAGGCCTGGAAAGATGCAGTGTGAGGGTGAAGAAGATGTTGGTGCGGAAAGGGGTGCATGGGGAGGGGCAGGGTAGATACGAAGGAGCAGGGCAACTGGCAAACTGGCGCAGCCCCTAAACTTCCAGTGGGCTGGACATTTTGCTCACGTGGGCCCTCCTCTAGGGAGGGCACAGCGCACACTGTGGTCCCTGGGCCCGAGAGTGAAATGGACAGTTCAGGGCCAGCAACTAGCTTGTTTCTGATGTCGGCCCAGATTAGCTCTTATTGGCTATCCACTGGGTGCTTTCTCTTCATTTTAGCAAAAAGCGGTGGCAGGGAGGGTCCCACTGCTCTTTACAGGGAGGAAGAACAGTGGCCTCACAGCACAGTGGCTGAGAGCAGGGCTCCGGGGCCAGGTGCTGGGTTCAAACCCCAGCTCTGCAACCTCCTGGCAACATGACCCAGGGCCAGTCCCTAACCCTCTCCATGCCGTGGTTTCCTCACTTGCAAGGGCAGACAATGATGACATTTCATAGCCTTGTCCTGAGGATGAAACGAGTCAATGAATGAGAATCACTTGAGCCAGCGCTGGGCCCGTGGTGGGCACAGGCAAGTGCTGTCTGCCTAACGTTATCGTTGCTCTTCCATTGCTATCAGTTCCAGTCACTGAGAATGGGGGAGAGGGAGAGGCTGGGAGCAGGCTAACACCTGCCTCCCCGGGAGACAGCACATGCAAAGGCCCTGTGACAAGAATGAGCTTAGCGGGTCGGTGGAACACACTGAAGCCAGTGCAGCTCGGGGATGGGGGCCAACTCGAGACGACCAGAGGGAGGTCAGGAGAGTGGGTGGGTCAGGGTAAGGACTGTGACTGCTCATTCGGAGCATGATGAGAACCTACCAGAAGGTCCAAGCAGGTGAGTGACAGACCTGACTTTAGGGGAGCGTTTTAGCAGTGCAACGGAGGATATGGTGGGGAGGAGGGGGCCAAGACAGCGGTGACCGAGGCACAGTGGTGACAGGAAGAAAACAAGAAGCCAACAGGTTTGAGATCTGTTTTGAAGCAGAACGACAGAGCTGTTGACGGGCCATATTGGGAGGAGAGAAAAGGAGGGGAATCGAGGACACTCCGAGGGTTTCGTCTCCAGCAGCCAGGTCTGCGGCGGTGCCATCGGCTGAGGTGGGGGAGGAGTGGGCTCGGGGTGGAAGTCGAAGCTCTCTACCTATCGGATGTGTTGTTTGAGATGCACATTACACAGCCAAATGGAGCTGTCGGCAGGCAGGGAGATATATGAGTCTGGCTATATGATGCAAACTCAAAGAGGCACATTCGTAGTATTGATTCAATGTGGAAATGCAAACCACACTGAAAAAAAGCCAGTTCATCACTTGACGACAGGGACTATTTCACAAACGGTGTCTGCGGGTCGGTGGAGCTGGGACTCTGCCCCACACCTGCGTCAATCCACAGAGTGCCAGCTCCAACGACAAGGACACCTCCAGTCCCACAGCAGTGCTCCCGGCCCCCGGGGAAGTCAGAGCAAGAGGCCCCCTCTTGTCACCAGCTGTCTGCCCTCCTGGCCCTGGCCGAGGTCTATAACTATCTCCTTTGCTTATTTACTCTTTGTCAACCCAAACGTAAGCTTCGTGAGGGCAGAGGCTTACCGGTGCCCTCTAAGTCGATTCCCTAGTACCCTGTGAGTAAATGGGTGAATAAATGAACGAATGAATGAATGAAGACAAGTAAAAGAGGGCACGGTGTTGATGTCACTAACTGTATGAATTAACAAGTCACTTTCATTGATCAATGAATATTATAAACCCACCTTGCTCAATTTTATGATTATTAGAAATATGCATGTATATATACAGTATATAAAGACATAATATATACACACGGTTGAGCACAGCTCTTAGCCCTAGTATACAATCAATAAATGGAGGCTATTAGGATAACAGCTGTAATTATTAAAAGGACCTAGACTCTAATGTCTTAAGACCTGCTCCACCAGAGCCATAAACCCGCAAAAACAATAAAGCCAAGAGCGGAAAACAGCGGCAAGTTTTTCATCTCCAGTGCGTCACCTTTCCCAGGGCCCCAGGGGCCTGCAGACCAGAAGGAGACCATTTCCTGACGCCCCCGCATCCTCACAGCCTCCCCAGCCC